TGTATATGTTATACATACGACATGTATCGATGCCAATCAGGAGAGTGTATGGGAAGTCTTTGACTACTTTTGCGGTGACTTCTCGGGTGTAGCCATCAATGGTTATATTGAAGATGGCCTCCAGTGATGTACTGGTGATACCACTGACCTGTTGAAGGACAGTGGCCGGCGTTGCTTTAGTTTTGATTTTTCGGTCGTCTACGTAAATATCGGATATAATATTAGATGTAGAGGCGCTGTCAACGATAAATATTGTGTTTCGGCCGTTCAGTGCGCCGGGTATTGTCACCAGAGTAGCGGCCGGCGGCTGGACTTGACCGTTGGTCATCAGTGACGGCTGAGCGTTTGACGACGTATTTTGGCGCCGATCACCATTTGTGGGCTGTCTCGCAGCTCCTAGAGTGTTGTGGTATGGCTGATCAGTCGGGCGGTTCGGGCATTCGCGGTGCCAATGCTTTGCAGTGACGCCCATAGCAGAACAGTGTTTGCAAGTATACGGGCAATCGTTTGCATTCTTTACGCCATTACCCGGACGTTTTGGGTGCGTCTGTTTGTGACTATCGTCTTGACAATGCACAACTGTACAGTGAGCGTTATGGGGTCGGCTCTGGCCGGCCTGCGGGTGTCCAGTAGTTTGCGGCTTGTGTTTAGCCTTTTGCTCGATATACTGTTCGAGTCGACGGACTTTTAGAAGCCATTCTTCGGGTGTGTTGACCTCGGCCATGACCATTTTGTCTTGATAGGCTTCGGGTAACCCCTGTGTGAGCATGCCAACCCGCTCGAGGTCGTCGGCATGCGTACGGATGAGTAGTGCCATCATTTCGTCGTAATAGGTTTTAACGTTATGTGCGCGTGTCATGCGCAGTTTAGAGGCCTGACAGAGCGGCGCCGGCCCGATGGCCGAGAAGCGCTTGATCAGAATATTACGGCACTCAGCCCATGTAATAGTAGCGATATTTGGAGCGATGAGCTCCGCGTGCACGACGAGTGCATCGTCTGCGAGATATGAGATAAGTTTTAACGCCTTATCTTTATTGTCGGTTAAGCCGAGAGATGCGATGATCGCCTCGTAGAGCGTTAACCAACTTTCGATCGGGATTTTGTTTTTCCCGGTATACAACTCGAGTTTCGGGTCACGTGTTGCCATCTTGCGGTACACGGGACAATTACGGACAGCGTTTGGTGAATCTGGTTCGTTGCCAAACAGCCAATCAGGTATGAGTATCGGGGGTCGACCGGCGGGCACTGGCGCCGCTGGGTTGAAGAAATACTCGAAAAATGCGTTCGCGTTTGCGAAAATTGTGAGGCCGCACACAATCCACACCGACTGCGCCAAATGTTAACTTCTGTCCGTCCGGTAATGACCAGGGATGAAGTGGTAGGTTAAGGTACGTGCGCTGTGGCCACTATCTTACGATAGGTCCGATAAATGGACACATATGCTCACAATTAACACAAGTATTTATTAAGACATTAACACACATAAGAGTACAGAGAGATATTGGGGAATATGGCGATTGCCATAGAGTTAGTATTAGGTAATGTTACGTTTAGTTTTGGATTACAATTTAGGCATTTCTCTATATAATCGATAATTAGTATTGTGTAGTAATTAGATATATGTATCTGTAATTAGCATATCATTTGAATATAACAATGGTTTCAATATACGGCATAACATAGCATAACATTAATCATTATAAGCGCTAATATTATCAATAATAATATAATAGTAATAATAGGAATAACATATAANTCTCTCTCTCTCTCTCTCTCTCTCTCCCTCTCTCCCTCCCTCTCTCTTTCTCTCTCTCATTAACTTAAAATTTTGATATCACTACTGATAACAATGTCAAACAATATTATCACTTACACATATGACATCTAGGATAAAATATTGCCAAAACAAATATAATTTTGCTAATCATGCTTTGTCTTAAACATGATCAAAGTATAATTCTCAAATTATGAATCAAACAATATAGTGAAATAAATATTTGCTACAAATTAAATAATACAGTAGAGATTTATTTTGTTGTAAATAATAAAATTTTGCGAAATGTAATTATGACTATGTTTTTAGTAATAATGATGAAATTATTGTTATATAAACCTATCACAGAACTGTATTTTACACATGATAAAATGTTAGGATTATTTAAATACAAATCAAATAATATGGGTGCTGAAAAACTAATTAACCATGTAGATACAAGTTAAAAGCGCCAAAATTGAGCTCGATAAATAAGCACCATGCTTAATGGCCGATGATCCATCTGAGTCCGCGACGGGGGCAGGTTGCTTAGTGACCATGGGTGGCACAATCGGATCATTCACCTCTGGCCCCATAGTTTTGACCTCGGGAAAATTGGGCCCTTTATCCGGGATGACGGGCTCGCTGGACCCCTCCCTGGGCACAGTCTCCAACTCGTATCTGACCGAGGTGATGGTGTCCCGCAATTTGGCAGTGTTGGCTTCAATCTCGCTTTGAACCTGGGCCACGCCCAACAGATAAATTAATTGATCTAGTTGACTTTTGGCTTTGCCCAATCGCTCGATGGCAGCCCCATTGGTCATTGGTCGTAATTTGAGCGCGCTGATTGTATCCTTTAGTTGTAAGCTTAGTTCAATGGCCTCTGCGTTAACATCGCTGCGTTCGTCGCGTTTCTCCCGGATGTTAGTGCCAGCGCAGGTGTCTGTAAAAATATAAACATGTTAATTATTTTGGATTTACTTACTAGTTACAATTATCAATGATAATTATCATTATATAAAGCTTTATGTAAGTTATATAAAATATTACAGAATACTTTTTTTAATCAAATTATTTAAATTAACATAGAAAACCTATTTAGTTAGATTTTATTTATTTAATTAGTCATTAAAAATATTTAAATATAAAGGTTACTTACATATAAATGTGGCGACAAGTAAAATGGTAATATAGTTCATGTTGAAATACTTTAAAATTTATAAAAAGTTGCTTGTTTGTAATCCGTGTTGGTATTGTATTTGAACTCTCACTCACACCCAACTACGTTAAAATTATTTTGTGAATAAAACAATATTTTTACGATGAAATAACAACGTTGTAATTTTGTACTAACGCCTCGTTTAAGATGTTGTTGTCTATACATATAATATACCGGTTTAACTGTTTTATTACATTATGGTTACATATTTATATCAATTGTAGCTAGGATACTTACCACTTGAAACAATGCGGTTTTATTGTGCTTTCTACTTAAATAATACGATATTTACATTACAGAGTGTATCAGTTTCCGTAATAATACAAGTAGATTACTTTTGATAATTTTACCTTCTTATGTAGTAAATTAAAATTATTATATAAGTACTATAATAGCATTAATTAATTCATCTTGAATTAAAATTTGTAGTTATGATCTATTTAAAATAACTATTTTTAAATACCAAACCATGTTTAATAAATCACACTGTTAATTATATAGAGAGTAGAATGTATTTATGATATAATTTGTTATTACAAATCTACAAATTTTTTATTTACTGTTTATAGTGATCAGGAAGTATTATCATATAAGCAATTTATAAAGAAATTTATCATTATTGTATAAGTCACATTTTTTTATTTATAGGTAAATCGGAAGTATTTACTTAAGATAAACAATTTATTTATTTATAATATCATTTGTTGAAAGTATTTTACAAAAATCTTATAATTATTATATTAAGTAAAAATAATAAATTTTATCATTTTAATTTATTATTATTATAAAGGTTTAAATAGAATTAAAATAATATAATTAATTAATTTATAATTCATATGCCGGTACTTTTTAAATAAATTATGCACATTATAAACATATAAAAATATAACTTAAATTATACATTTTAAAAACCCATTTTATTAACATTGAATTATTTAACAAATATAACCTTAAATACAGTTATTTATTTATATTTGTTTTATTATTAAATGATATAAATTATATTTACAAGCAATAATAATTGATTAAATTTTATTAATTTTAATTATCAATAAAAACATAAAGCTTTAAACAGAATAAAATAATAAAGTAGTAATACAGTAGTAAATTCATCGTTTTTTAATAAAGCTAAATTTATGACATTAATAATAATGATTTATTGATAACATATCAAAATAGTGTAATAATTAAGCTTGTTATTCAATAATTAACTATAAATTAATAATTATGATAAATAAACACAGATAAATGAACAATGTATTTTTAAAATATACAGTATATGATAATACATTATGTGCATCAATACAATTGTTAGCAATAGCCGGACCTATGGATAGATCATAAGTGGTTTGCTATGATTTTACATTGTTTAACCATCTAATATAAAAACATTTGGATAAGGCAATCATTAATTAATTGTTTAACTATTACCATAATGAAAACATCACTAATATTGAGTTTCTTGTTTATAGTGGTAAACTGTTTACCAAAACCCGGAGCCCAGGAGTTTACGGGCAAACGATGGGTAGTGCTGTGCGCGGGTGGAGCTGGGTGGAATAATTACCCATTCCAGGTTATTATAACATGATCTAGATGATTGCAATTATAAAATTATGATTTAATTAAAAACTACACTAATTACTCTTTGAAATAAATTACACTTTTAAATCAAAGGCCAGCATCTATCACGCTTACCATATATTCATAAACCATGGCATACCGGCTGATAATATAATTGTAATGCACCCTGATGATTTGGCATCAAGCAAACACAATCCCACTCCTGGCATCGTGGTAAACCAAGTGAATGGCACCGATGTCTACCACGATGTTCCCAAACATTACATCGGGGATGAAGTAACACCAAAGGTAAACTTTAGTAAACTAGTTATTTTACCATTGTAAAACTGATGTATTTATTTGCATCATGGTTGTTTACATCAGAACTTTTTAGGAGTACTAAGAGGCGACCCGGAGCTAAAAGCTGCCGGAAAGCTAGTGGTCGATAGCGGGCCCAACGATCACATATTTATATTTTTCATGGGCCATGGTAGTGTTGGTATGGCATTAACCATATTAGTTAATTATGTTTAGACTAAACATGTACATTTTTATTGCACATCAAGAATCTATTGACTTTCCGAGGGGTACACTGTTTGCCAAGGACTTGATCAACGAGCTGAAAGGAATGCACCATGCTCAACGATACGCCAAACTATTGTTTTACCTGGAGGCCATCGATTCAGGTAAAATAATTAAAATAAATAGCCTTAATTAATAAACTGTATTGACAAAATTAAGCACAACTAATGAAATCAATATATTAACCAGGCTCGATGTTTGAAAAACTACTACCCGCAGACATTAATGTTTATGCGGTGACATCATCAAAACCTGACCAGGCTAGTTGGGCATGCTGTTACGATACGTCGCGCAAGGCTTATGTGGGTAAGTCCATATCAACATTAAACAAGTAGTTTTATAATATACAGCAATTGTATGAATAATTTACATTAATAGTAAGACTTTAGTCTAACTGATATTGGAATTGCATGATATATTATTTGTTAAATAAGTGTAATTTTAATTAATTAAAAAATTATTAGTTTAATATTGGACACAACACTAAAGTTATCAGAGTGTTATTAGCTGTATTAATTTATTACACATTATGAATAAAATTACAGTTTATTTAATGTGAATGCATATAATTATTTAAAGTTTTTATTTCGCTCTCGCTAAATAACAAACAATTTTATTATTTTACATTTATTATTAGTTGTTTATTAACAATGTTTTAAACAGCTATTTTATAACAACAAAGTTGTACTTTAACTAGGTGGACATTTCAGCCAGCACTGGTACGCTGATAATGAGATCAGTGACGTTAACATCGAGACTATCGATCAACAATTTTTATATATTAGTTTGCATAACAAGATTGATATTCAAAATAATACGTTTGAAGAGGCTCAACATTACGGCAATTTAACGATTGGTCAATTGACATTATCGGAATTTTTTGGTATAGTGTGAGCTAGTTAAAAATATAGTTACCATTTAAATATTTTAAATATAACAGGACCCAAAAAACAATCGTATAACCCTCAAATTACCCGGATATATAATGGACAATGCAAATATGTGGACCAACGCGATATTGCTATACATTTAACCGAGCAGAATATCATGCAGAGCAGGGATAATGTCGAAAAATTACGGTATTTTTAATTGAATAAAAATTAATTTATTATTTAACCTACACAAAAACAATTTAAATTATTAGTTACACACGAGAATTGGGGCACATATTAAACGGCAGGCGATACGCCGATAAACACGTGATCAGTTTGTTGGACGCCATTAAACCGTTGACAGGTTTGTGGGCTACGGATGCCCTCAGCGGCCGACACCAGCTTAATAACCGAGATTGTTATAAAAAGTTTGTCGAGACCTTTAGCGATAGGTGTTTTAACTTGAGCAAGGTTATACACTTTTAATTGTAATTATTTTCAAACAGAATTATTTAATTGTATTTTTGTTTAACTCATAGAATCCTTATTTATATGGAAAACTGAACGCTTTTGTTAACGTTTGCGAGTCGTTGACCGACACTACCGGTGAAGAGTTGGCACTCAATCTAATGACCCGTTATTGTGAACAAAACGTTCACTTGGATTTGAATGTGCAGTTTTTAAAAAATAATGTCTGCCTTTTTGCACCCAATATTTATGTTGTTTGACTATTTCCACATTGAATTATTGTGATTTTGAGATAAAATTACAGTTTATACAAACTTTTAAAGCATATTAAAATATGTCATTATTTAATTAATTCTGACTATATATGATTCAAATTTTTATTTCAACAAAATTATATGTAAACAATGACAATAATATGTTCCCAATTTGTATTAGAATGGATTTATCAATAAAATATTAAACTTTAATAGTAGCAATTAAGAATATAATAGCCAATATTTTATAATGCTTAATAAAACTTACACAATAGTATAATTGCTAGATAATTATTAATTAATTGTAATATTAACTAATTTCTAAATAAATGTACAATATATTTTATTTCGTAAATTCAATTTATAGAGTACTAGTATTTTATCCGATAAATAAACAATGTCTATTTAGAATAATTAAATATCAATAACAGTATACAACAATCAAATCACAAATATTTATCAATTTTACATTGTATAGCTAGCTATTATAAAGGCTTTAGGATATTATAATAATTAATTAATTGTCAATTATAATTTAAAACTCAACTTGCACAAATATTTTGTATAAGTTGTTTGGGCTTAATAGCGGTAAACGCTGTACCAAAACCCGGGGCCCACGAGTTTAGGGTTATGAATATAAAGTCTACTTTATATGACTGGAAATTATATCGCTACATAAAAGATTCTAGATTTTTGTGCAAGAAATAATTAATAATTGGAATCAGTTTAAGACATTGTGTACACAATAAAAATGAACTTGTTTGACCAACTTTTTGTAGAGATCATTTAATAATTATCTGGAACTCTTATAAAAAAAATACACTTAAATAAAAACAAATGTGCCATTGTTCACAAGTGAATCAACAAGATAACATAATTCATTGTCATGATCAAGATCACATAAAACTACTGTATACTTTATATGAAAAACACATTTTCACAATAATATTACATTTCAAAATAATACCCCATCCAAGCAATGATTAAAAATACACAATAAGCATATAATTAAAAATAATTTTATCAGGGTACTATCGCTTAAGCATAGTACTAATCCACGTAGTAATCATGCACCTTGTGGTAAGGCATAATGGCTAATCTGGGTATAAATAGCCTAGGCCAACTCACCAAACAAACTAACTAGCATAATGAAGTTAGCGTTAATATTTAGCGTATGTTTTATAGCGGTTAACGCCGTACCCAAACCCGAGGCCAAGGAGTTTACTGGCAAACGATGGGCCGTACTGTGCGCTGCGGCCGGTGGTTATGGCATTAATTATGCTTTTCCGGTTAGTTATATTAAGCTAGATTTATTTTTTAAAATGTATCATATAACCCGTCATAATAATCAAAACTTATATAATAATCATATTAATTATAATAAATAGGCCAGTGTATACCACGCTTATCACTTGCTATTGAACCATGGTATTCCGGAGGAAAACATCATCGTAATGCATCTTGATGACTTGGCCTATAATAAACAAAATCCCACCCCTGGTATTGTGGTGAACCAGGTGAATGGCAGCGATGTCTACCATGGTGTGCCCAAACATTACATCGGGGCCGAAGTTACTCCAAAGGTAGGAATTAAATTATATTAGATTATCATAATTATTAATTAACACTACATGTATCTATAATCTAGAACTTTTTGGGAGTACTCAGAGGTGACCCAGAGTTAAAAGCTGCCGGAAAGAAGGTTATCGAGAGTGGTCCCGATGATCATGTGTTTGCTTTCCTGTTTGATCACGGTGGAGCAGGTATGATTTGTCTTCATATAATAAATGTTATTGTATTTTATTGTTAATTTTATTCATAATTTTTAAATTAAAAATTTAGAGACCGTATACTTTACCCATGGTCAGCTGTTTGCCAACGATTTGAAAAAGGAGCTTGTCCAGATGCACCAGGATAAGAAATACGCTAAAATGTTGTTTTATATCGAGGCGTGCGAAGCGGGTAAGGTGTCATTTAATCGTACAGTAGTAAATTAGATACAGACTATTATTTTTAAAACATCAGTTATCTTATCGTAATTATTATAACGTTTTTGTACATGTAATCATTTTTTATTTTAAACTTATTTATTATTTAATTATATAATAGGCTCCATGTTTAACAACATTCTACCTGATAACATTAACGTATACGGTGCTACATCATCTAAACCCAACGAGCTCAGCTATCCCTGTTGTCACGATCCCGTGCGAAAAGTTGGTGTTGGTGAGTTTATTCAAATTATTAACTGTATTATATTTCATTAATTAAATATGTGTATTTATAATCCAGGTGGACTGTTTAGCGATGCTTGGTACAAAGATAGTGAGACCAAGGACTTAAACACCGAGGTGGTCGAGACCCAGTTTGCTTTCATTGCCAAGGAGATTGCCAAAACCGAACATCCGCAACACTATGGTGATTTGTCTATTGGCAAAATGTCCCTGGCTGAGTTTTTCGGTATTAATCAAATTAATTTTAACCAAATATTAACAATTAATTCTAATTAGCTCTAAATAATAATGTGTTTATTAATTTACAGGTCCGAAAAAGGTGATTGATCATCCAGTGGTTGCCCAGACAAATGCCAAACAATGCGAGATGGTAAATCAGCGTGAAATGGCAATATGGTTGGCCGAGAAAAACATCCAGACATCCACCGATGTTAAAGAGAAATTACAGTAATTAAACTAATATTATTACATTTATAACATGTTTATAATTTATATATTTAATACAATTTAATTCAATTACAAATAGCTATACACAAGAGTTGGAGCGTATTTTGAATGGCAGACAATACGCGGACAAACAGTTAAACGGTTTGTTAGAAACATTGAAACCGTTGACCGGTTTGGAGGCCACCGATGCCCTCAACACCCGTCGGGAGATTCATAACCGCGAGTGTTATTACAAGTTTGTCCAGACATTTGGAGAGAAATGTTATGATTTCAATAACGTAATTATTATTATTTATCATAATGAAATATAAATGTTTAGGACAATTTATTATATATTGATAGTCTATAATTCTATTTAAACATTTACATTTTTCAGAATCAATACTTTATGGGAAAAATGCACGCATTTATTAACGTTTGCGAATCACTGCCTGAAACCAGTGCCGCCACCGACAGTGCCATTCAGCTTATGGTACAATACTGTCAACAAAACGCTAATTCAGATTTGAATATATTGTAAATTCTGTTATATCGAAATGTTTTAATAAAAAGCAATATAATTAAAATCTATACAATTATTTAATTTTTTAATTGCACAACATTAAAAATGATTTTGTTGTGAAATATGCACAGTTTTTATTTTATATTGTCAATAATTTAAATGTTCAAATTTTCAGTAGATACAATATATAAAACCATTTTCTCTTTTGGTAAAAATTTTAGTGTTGTATTTCATAAAACAAAATAGCTTTATTATATAAACGTGTATTTTATAAACTATACAAACTGTCCTTAAACTTATAAACATTTAGAACAGTTTAACTGTCACATTATTGCATTAAATGGAGTACGCCTAAATAGACCCCGAGGCATTTATTTGCCTCGACCCCAAGGCAATTATTTTTTGCCTCAATTCGGGGCAATTTTTTTTGCCTCGACCACGGGGCAATTACATTATTGGCTCTAAATGTTGTCATATTTAAATAAAATAATTATAATATATTATAAATTTTTTGCAATTAATTGTAAACGTAAATTAAATTTTTAATAATAAATATTTTAAATTTTGACTAAATTATCATTAAATATTTACATTGTAGTTAAAAATGTTACATGTTTATTATATTTAAATATAAATTTGTTTAAAAATGATCAAGGCAGGTTTTTACACTGGGTGCTCCAGTTTTCCTGCAGTTGATTTTTAAATCACAATTAAATTATACATGTATTATAAAGCATAATAACCGACAATTTTGATTTCTATAATAATTATATTAAGATTATATAAAAGAATGTCCATTAGTATTATTTCAATAAATAATAATCATAAAAATCATATAAGTATAATTAAGATTTTATAAATTTTATTAGAATATAGCAATATCTACCATTTGTAATCTAAAATGTAAATAATTAATGATTATTTTGTCAAAATTCAATATATGTATTAATATAAATTTGATTTACTTTTTAATTGATTAATGCAATTAATTGAAGCAAATATAAAATAATTATCTTGTTTAAAAATAACATAACATTTAAAGCTAATAATGTAATTGCCCGGGGTCGAGGCAAATAAATGCCTCGAGGTCTATTTAGGCGTACTCCATTAAATGTGATTAACAGAATTAAATAAAATTTTATTTGTAAAAATATAATGATTACAATGACCATAAAAATTATAAATTTATACTTAAATATGTAGAAAAAACAGACACAGAATCAGAAATTAAGAACTTATTATAGAAAAACAATTGCTTTATTTTGTATATTTATTTATAGATTGTCAATACAGTCAATGTACAGCGTTAATGTATCCATATTAATGCTAATTGTATGGACTTTTATTAAATCTGTATATAATGCTAATCTGTTATTTGAGTAATACCCAAATTGTGGTTAACGTATTACACCGCTGTTTGATCCTTGTTTATTTTATTATATTACACATTTGAATCAGCATATTATTTTATTATCAACAATATTTATTTAAATCAATAATTAATTAGGCTAGTATTATTATTTTATTTTATTTATAAGACTTATTTATGTGTTGTTTGTTTATTAGTTTTAATGTTATTTTAATTAATTTTGTGAGGATTTGCATGTATTAGATCAGCTATAAGACATCGAAGAATGATTATCTTATTTTTACCATTATTTTTCATTCATTGTATTTCTAAGAATTTCATGTATATCTTAAACTTTCATTTCTAACCCTTTCTTACGACTATGTGCTAATTGATACCACATTCTCAACACATCTGCAAACCATATTTAATCACTATTTGCAGCATTTAATTCAACTATGTTTTTCGTATTTTAATCATAATTACAATTAATTACAATTACATTTTTATACACATAATTATTGATAATAACATTACCTTTACATTAGTATTAAACATTTATACTTAATCATTGTATAACTTTATCAAAACATTCATTTACGCACGTATTAACTGTATATCCAAAATAACTTTGTATTTAACCTAACGTTTGAAAAATGCAATAAAAACAGTTTGATTTTAGTTTGAAAACATACGGTCTGTCATTCACTACTTTCCATATTCTCTTCTACCCGGGTGAGTGCACGGCTTGTCGGGGAGGAAGGGTAAAGTATAAAGTATGAGACCTCGGG